CGTATATGATGCATAGTCACATAATTCACAATACACTTTGGTACTTGGTACAAGTATGATACACGGTATGCAACCTTATGAAGTATTGGTACATGGGTTATTCGGGTTATTCGTACGCTTCAATACATTGTTTAAATTTATACTCTATTATATAAATTAATATTAAAATTTACATAGACTATAAGTAAAATTCATTGTAGTTATCCAAATTATAAACAAAATTTGTTATTTTGTTAAAAGATTGGTGGAGTTGAGACACTCCATATCTTTATATTTTATTTAAAAATTTTAAAATAAATAAAAATTGAGGTTACATAATAAAAATGTTTAAAAATTAGAAAATTTGAGTGATTAGAGGTAGTTAACTTATTTAAGTGGTTATATAGGTGGTTAATTTGTAATATTATCTTTTATTATTTAAAAATTTAATGATAGAAACATGTAGAAAATGTGGAGACAAAAAAATGGTTATAAACTTATGTACTCTTTTTATATATAGATATAGATGAAACAAAACTATTACATTTATAGAAAAAGTTGCTAACAATTAAAATATTCATATAGGTAGTGTTTTAAAAATTGACCTGGACCAATCGGTTGAACTAGGAATCAACAACCCAACCGATCCGAGCATGTATTTGACTTCTTAGATAACAGTATCATGAATCGATATTTTGGTTGAACTAGTGAATCAGACTGATTCTGTAACGTAGTAAGTTATTTCAGAAGACCTAAAAGCCAAATAAGGGTGATTTAGTAGCCTAGAACGGACCATTCCCAATCTGGAACGGGTCGTTCCAAACTACTAAATTGACCTGTAAATCGTAGTTGAAAATGGGCCATTTTGGATGGGGTATAGGTCATTCTCGATAAGTCCTAGAACGGGCTATTCTGGTTTCAGAAAGGACCGTTCTGCATGTGATTTTTACACATGATGAAGGGGTGCAGAACGGGTCATTCTGGCCACTCCTGAACTTCTATAAATAGGGGTTATGTGATTGACGAGAAAGTGAAGTTTTTAGAGAGAAGTTTTAGAGAGAAGGACTTTGGGTCTGTGAGCTCCTTTCTCTCCCAAATTTCTCTATACAATTCTTTTTCTCCTCTAGATCACTAATGTCTTCTAGCTTTTCTTGAAATTTAGACTAGAAAGCATGTTTTGGGTGGATTGAAGTTCCGGGTTGAGCTTTGGAAGGAAATTCTACTTCTCCTCAGTTCTTGGCCATTTTGAGCCAATTTTCAGGTAAGGGAAGCTAGAATGTTTGTTGTTTAGGTTGCATGTGAGTTTAGAAACTCAATTGATGCATGAAAGTCAAGGATCCATGGTTGGATCAGAGAATTTGCTCATTTTTCAGGGTTTAGGGAAAAATGGAGTTTTTGGTGATTTTGATGCATCAGATGGGTGCATGTGAGATTTAAGTTTATTTTTGAGTTGTATAGAACTTGTGCATCGTGTTTTGTGTTTTCATGTGGCTAGATTTGTTGGTTTGGATGAGAGCTTTGAAACTCTCTGACTAGGATTAGGTCGAGCACGCTCAGGCTGTGTAGGGTGTGAACATGTTTATTTGTGATAGTTGAAATGATGCTTCGGTGTGTTTAAAGTTGAAGTTTTAGATCATGTATGTACGATATATGATGTATGGTGAGGTGTGATTCATATGTATGCTTGGTAATGATATATATGAATGTTTAAATATGATATGACATGTGTATATGTTCATATTTGTATGATTGTTGATCATGATGGTGGGTAGACCATGCATGATGTGTGATGCATTATTGCATGTGATGTCTTATGACATGCGTATGATTGTTGATCATGATGGTGGGCACACCATGTATGATGTGTGATGCATAATTGCATGTGATGCCTTATGGCATGAGTCTAGCATAGGACTTGAGGAGAGGAAAAATATTTTTGAACTGGAAGAGCTCACATAGAGTCTCTTGGGAGTGGTGCTTCGATAAGCCACTGATTTATGAGAGTGGTGCTCAGGTAGGCCACTGGATTTGGGAGAGTGGTGCTCAAGTAGGCCACTAGGTTGGGTGTGTCTCCTTTAAGTCCTTAGCTAGTGTTGGAACATGGTATGAGGTCGAGGGTTATTCCCTTAACCAAGTACTCGGGGAAGGTGCATGGATCCTTGCGGATAGTCAGTGGGCGAACTCCACAATTGACTTGGTAATGCATGCCAAGGTTGTGGTAAGCCTGTACCCAGCTATTCTATACCTGACGGTGGATCTGGACTTCCAATTGTGTAAGTGACATCATCCAAGTAAACCCGAGTGAGGATTATATCTTGTTTAGTTGTGACCGAGCGGGCGCATTGGGCGTGAAAACGGTTGGGGTGGTTTCGGTAGGATGGGATGTCACTTATACTACTCTGTTGTTAGGGAGATCTCCTAGGTGTATGCGTGGTGACGCATTAGATGATTGATATGTATTGATATCTGTCATGAGATGCATTTATTGCATGATTGTTAATATGATGAAGTGTGTGGTGTTTGGCTTCATGTTATTTCCGACCCGGACAATTTTAGGGGTCTACAATCACGATGTATTTATATAAAAGCATTGATAATTTATGTGAATGAGTATAGATGTTTATGAATTATGGATGATATGATGATCATGATGAAGTTATATAGAAGCATTTGCATGGTTGTGACATGCATCATATTTGCATGTTCTGTGATTATGGTGGGAACATGTTGTCTATTGTTCTGGTGGGAACCTATTGATGTTCTGGTGGGAACACTTTTGTGTTGGTATCCTAAGGTTAACTCAGGACTTAGGTATCAATTGTATATTCTTGATGATGATGGTTGAGTAGCCATACATTTAGATGTAGGTGTATATCACATTGCATTTTTGTGTATATGTGTGAATGGAATGGATGATGTTTATAAATAGAGTTGAAGTATGAGTCGTTATTACTATATTTGAAGTATGAAGTGTTATTATCATAGTTGAAGCATGAATTATTATTATAGTTGTTTATCGTGAAGGGATGGGATGCCAGGGTTGCGACCCATTCCCTATAGAGTGAGAATTGTTATCACTCCCTATTGTTGTTGGTGTGTTTTGTTTTTGTATGTTGTAGACAAGGACCCTCAACCTTGGAAGGAACAAGGAGAGGTCTAGGTGTGTGTGAAACTCTAATGCCAATGTGACATCGAGGATTTGGAGTAGATTAGGGATTTTATTACTTCTTGTTATTTCAATATTCTTGATTACAGTTTGTTTACTATTACTCTATTTATTTATTTTCCAATGAACTGGATTATTTTATTTATGATTTTTATAAGGATGTATTTGAGACTTTTACGAGTTTAAATTGGTATAATTCTTGAGGGTAAATGGGTGTCACACTCATAAAAGAGATAAAATTTGTTAATTTCACAAGAGAAATAGAGATCATCATAAAGAGTGTGGCTATGTGGATTGCAAAATTAAAGCTTGGAAAAATATTTTGTGTCTCTACAAATCCCTTTAAATTTAGGAGAAAGAGACAAATTACCTAAGGTTGATAGAGATGCGCTACATGAAGTGAAAAGGGGTGATAAATTTAGGCTTATTGAAATATATTATTTAGAATGAAGGGTTGAGATTAAAATAGTAACATTGTTTTAACAATAACCATTAAATTTCATTAAATATCATTAAAAAAATAAAAATATTAATTTTAGTAATTTAACATAGCAATTTAAACATCATTAAAAAAAATTGATTCATTAAAGATAGCAATTTAAAAATCAAAATTTCATTTGACTCAATTTTAGTAAAAATTTAGTTTAAAAAATTATTTATAAAATATATTAATTTAATAATAATAAACTTTAGTAATAAATTAGTTTTAAAATAAAAATAAATTTATAAATAGTATTACTTTAATATAATAAAATTTACAATTTTTTAACAAAAAATTAGAAAAATTATTGTAAAATGTTGATCTTAAAAATTTAAATTTACCCTTAAGTTTAGGATAAATTTTATTAATAATTTAATTTTAAAAAATTAATAAATTACTTTAATTATTATTTATTTTACATCTTAAACAAATTAACACAAAATAAGAAAAATATTTTAGTGACTAATTTGCAACTTTTATGTTCGATCGCTAAGTCAATCACAAAAACATTTTTGCTATCGACAACTAACGAATTTCAGTCGCTATTTTGCCTTTTTTAGTAGTTGAACTCATTTGGATGATCAATTTATTTAAGATCTTATTTAATAAGTTCTTATGTAATAAGGATTTATGTTATAAGTGTTTAAAATACGATGAGTTATTGCATTTAAATATATATGTTAACAAGTACTTATACTATTTTAAAGTATTTGGGCGTATAATTGTTTAAATACTTATAAGATGTTATGATTGTTATCTCATTTTAAAAATTAAAAAATTACAAATTAGATTTCGACTGAAAGTAAAATAAAAATATAGAAAGTAATTAAATAATCTTTTTATATAACAATAATATTAAAATGAAAAAAGAAATTTTTTTGAAGGAGTGATGAAAAAAATATAAATATGGCTTTTAGTAAAAGAATGAAAAAGAAATTATATCAATGATAATATCTGAACATAAGATATTTTGCAATAAATTCTCACATAAACTAATCTGAACTTAGAATATTTCGTAATAAACTCTCGCATAAATTAAATAAAATTATACTAGATAACTTATCAAAATAAATTCAAAACATCTTACGAACTGCTCATAAGATATTTTATAAATTTGTTTAAACATTCTCGTAAACACAGATCAAATACAAAAAAAAAATAAGAACACAATTATAATAAGTAACACATTTTATATAAGACTATAAATCATTGAGTCGTGAAATGTGGGAGAGATAAGTATAAGTGAATGTGTTTACAAGTGAGAAATTGTTGTAAACAAACAAGAGCCAAACACTTGATTGCTAGTCTCCTATATATACATCTTTGAATCTAGCTATGAGGTACACATAAAACTGGAATATACATATCCTCTACAAATTGATCATGGGTCTTGCAAGAAAGTAGCCTGAGGGCATTAAATAAATCAAATTAAATACTTTAATTCAAAATGCAATAAATGTTTTGTTTCTTAAATAATAATAATAACAAATCTACTTTTATTTCCTTAACCCTCCAACATTTGCCAATGCTTATAGACTAAACTAAGACCAACAATACACAGCCAGGTCAGTATCCAAATTATAAATAGTCTAAAGCAGACTTTATTTTGTATCCATATTCTGTTCAGTATTGGTTTTGGTCCTTTTAAAATCATTCACAGATTTATCAAAAGTTCCCCTAACATGCTGGCACACATGCATCAGTTCCTGGCATCCATCTTTTAACACCTCTTTTGCCGGATCCCCTGAACATGAACATTGAACAGAAAATTGCAATGTCAAAGCAGATTGTAATAGATAATAAGTTTTATGCAAACATCAGATTCAGAAAGGTACTTTAAGATGCTCTATCTTTACACTGACCCTATCATTTTTTCCCCTGCAGTGATTATAGTGCATTACCTAAACCCTATGATATCCACAAAAACATCTCAAGTTCAACGTCAACAGAGAAAACCATGAGAAAATTTTTAGTATCATGATATCTAGTGTGATAAATTAAACTTGCTTTGACAATTTTAGTATCATTAGATGCCAAATGTCATGTAAACTATCTAACAAAACTAGCAAAAATATAGGTCCAGCAGCATATATAGATTGTGTAGCAGACTATAAAACTTGTGATTGTAAAAAAGGGCAATCCAGTGCAAAAGGACCCACATCCTTATACACATCCATGTTGAAAGACTTTTTCCAAGATTTAAACCTATAATAACCTCAAAACCTTATAGTTGGTTCAAGGCTAGCCCTTCATTTGTGATTGTGTTAATGGAAATAGAGATTGCAGCACTTGTCGTGGCACAAATTTGTTGATTGCAGTTATTTTGTGTGGACTAACAACTCAAAACATTTCATGTGTTGTTACCTGTTGTCTGGACTCTGATATTTACACGATTATCTGAAGGATGAGGAATGCTGTACCCGCAAAATGTCACTCTTGGACTGCAAAACAATATTGATGACCTCAACTTATCAGGATATAGTGAACTGAACCCACGATAAGGAAGAAAGGAGGCACACAGAGAGACATTTCAAAGCCAAACAAAACTTGACATTTCTCATAAGTACAAAAAAGGAAAATGAAAAGTAAATCACTCCAAATATCTTCCTTTCAACTACTAAATTGATACCAAGCTAATCCTTTGGCTTCTTCCCTTCCTTTCCACAACCAAAAACCATTCCAAACAAAGGCTCAAACTTAATTTAACAAGCATCAAAATGGATTAATCAATTATTTCCTAAATAAAGTATACAATGAAATCAATACAAATAAAGATTTATATGTCTTAATCTTAGGTCTCTTCCTTCTTCAAAGAATGCAAGGAAGAGAGTAGTAGGGATACGTCAACCTATTTGTTGTTTCATAACACAAGGATACGGATTATGTTCATTTCACGATCCTTTGCAGATAATCATAATGATTTGGGTGCATTGTGTCCTATGTTGGAGCAAATTTTGACAGTCCATCATAATGATGGCCTAAATTTAGAGCAATGTGCAGTTTATGGTTTTGCACACATGTGCGTAGTAAAATGATTTTGCATCTTTGTGTATTTCTTGGCTCCAAAATTTGATGCGGGATAGAATCTAGTTTGTACCACAACTACAAGCTCTGCACATGGCTTCTTCACTTTTTAATGTTCTTTTTGTGTCCACAATTTTCTGTTTTGGAGTATATCATATTTCCACTTGTTTGTACTTTTGCTCATCTCTAAAAATATCTCTGTTTCAATGATTTAATACAAATAAAAGAACACAACATTGATATTGCATGCTCTTTGGGCACCAGAGGACACAACATACTTCATTGATTGAAAATATATGAATTCACAAAATTACAGACAAATACAGAGGTAGTCACATAAGAAAACTCAAAATCCACACTACTAACTCTTGATTTAGGGTGAATCGGACAGGATTGGCAAATGTATGATCCTCATCCACCAGACAAAATGTTGATTTACTCTGATCAGAGTGTGACCCAATCTCCATCACTGACAGTCAATCTGAAACATCATATAACATGATTTAACAACAAACTTAAAAAATAACAGCCCATAGAACCATTACTAAAACTTAAATCACAAATTAACTTTCTTGTACAGTAACTATAAAATTGCTTTTCAAGTTTGTTCATATAATAATAATAATAATAATAATAATAATAATAATAACCCTTAAGTTCCATTAATTACTGACAGGTGACAACCAAATTGCAACCTGATGTTATCCTAGTTAACACAACCTTTAGGAACAAAAACTGAACACCTATGGTTACACTAAGCAATAGCATCGTAAGCATCTCAATGAAAATAAGTCCACACAGAACTGGCATCCAATTAAAGAAAAAAGAAAAAAATTATCAATGTTTGCTAAAATTTTGCACTCTTTGTACTTTGCAAATGTCACTGTGTGGACAGAACCCATTAGTACCAATAAGCTAAAGATCGAAACTTTGATGATATTGATCACGTCTTTAATCAAATAAAATACACATCAAAAAATACAAAAGGACACACACGTGTGTGTGGAATTGAGGAAAACCCCTTACTCGTGGCAAAACCAAGTAGAACACAATGTCAGTGCTTCAGGTGCAATTTTGATTCGATAATCGAAGCAGGTAAATATAGGTTTTCACTTTTTTGGTCCACGGGTGTTAGGGTTTTTATTGTGTTCGGGCCACAAAATTGGATTTGTGTAACTTTTTCTCTTTTTCACCCTCTTCTTTTTTCTTTTCTTTTTTTAATCTTCTCTTTGTGAATATTGATGTAGATTATTAAATACTAGGAAAAAAAAATACTTCATGCCTTATTGATGCTATATGAAATGTGTGAAAATTACAAAATCTTTGTTGTTGAGTTTGCAATTTATCAAGGAGCAAAATGATTTTAGATAGATAATTTTTTTAAAATTAATAAAATAAAATTATTAAATTATCCTATACTAAAAGAAAAAATGTGTAGTTATCATAATAAATAAAGGATAAAAATATCTTAAAAAATGTGTATCAAAACACAATGTATCATCTTTATATATTATTAAACATTTTAACTTACTTTTGAATTATTAAATATTTATGATTTATGAATATTTTTAGTTTCTATAAAATAAGTGATTTTTAATTTTAATCCTTGCAAAATGTTTTCTTTTTTTTTTTCATCATTTAAGAGTTTTTAAACATTATTTTTAATTCTTGTAAAACATTTTTGGTCTTTAAAGTAAGTTAATTTTGAATTTGGTCCCACTAAAATACATTTTTATTTTTTTTTATTTCTAACAATGATTTTCAGATAGATAAATAATATATATTTTAAGAACCTATAATGAATTTAGAGTTATCAATACTAACATGATACTACTTTAAGTAACACTTGAGATGGTTACTTAACATTTTGATAAATAAATAATTAGTTAAAAATGATTATATAATGACATGGTCTAAATTTATAGGGATAAAAAGTAAAGAAATATTTTTAGAAAACTAAAATTAAAATCTATTCATTTTACTGAGACTAAAAATATATTTAAATTAATATTTAAAAATGATTGATATTTATTTTTGACAAATTTTAACATTTAAAATTCAAAATTTTTAGCATATATCTAAATCAAAATTTGAATATGATGGAAATTACCTTCTCTAAATTAAGTATTTTAAAATTTAAGAAATTTAAATTTAACTATTTAAAAAAAATAAATAAAAGATATCTAAATAAAAAAAATCAAATTTAAAACATTTCAAGTTCCTTGAAATGTTAACATTAATCATCCAAATACAACTTAGAAAAAAAAAAACATCGAGTTATTTACAAAATTAATATCCTCAAAAGAGAAAATCGATAGAACATTGAAAAATATATGATGAGGTGATGAAGAAAGTGAAAGCTTCATTATCTAATACATGTCAAAAATCAATTTAAAAATAATTAAAATTTCTTTATATTGTAAAAGAATGTGTAAATATATATAAAATTTGTGTGAATATTTTGGAAATCATAAGAAAATGTCATAAATTTAAAAATATTTTTTCATCACAAAATGTCTAGTGAAATCCATCGAACACCTTTTGTGGTGGTTGTTCATCTCAAATGGAAGTGAAATTTCATATTTATTTGGCAAAAAGTAATTAAAATATTAGTTATTAAAAATTATATTTATTTTTCTTTTCTTCAAACTTTATCATTGTTATTTTTTTCATTGACTCTTAAAACTTTGATTTTTTTTGAAAAAAATGTGAAGTATTCTCAAATCTTATAAACTCAATAAGTTCCGTCAAATTTAATAAATTCTTAAAAGATATATTGAAAATTAAGATTTAAAAAGATTTTTCACCATAAAAAAATATCGACCTCATGATAATTAATCAAGATTCTTTTTCTTAAAATGAAAATATTGTTATATTCAATTAAGACAATCAAATTTTTTTTAAAATAATTTGTATAAATTTATTAGTATTTAATTAATATTTTTTCACTTAATTAAAGTTTTTTGATATTCAAAAAATATAAATTTCAATGAATTATTTTAAAAGATGAATTTTGTGAGATTTTTTAATATACTTTATAATCAATATCATATAAAATTTTGAGATTTTGTGTAACTTTTCTATTTCTCTATTCCCCCCCCCCC